ATAGGTGCATGGTACGGCCCGAATAGTATGCAACCAAGTCCGCCCCATAATGAGGTTATACGGCGAAGGGAGCTTGACGACCAGGAATTCCACTTCCATCATTTGGGAGCCTGCCCAAACGGGTAACGTGATTTTTCCCAACGGATACTCCGGATTCACGTTGAAGCCGAACAATGGATGAGGAGCCGGAGACAAGTCTGATTCATTGAAGCCGAGTTTAATGAAGGTCTCGTAATACATGACCTCTGAAGTGCTTCTCTGATCAATGAGGACGCGTTCAACGGTAAACCGGTTCACGTGTAGTTCAATAACCAATGAATCAATATGGGGGAGCGTTATACCGATAAGATCAGAATCGTCGAAGATAATGCTCGGCGCTTGGTGGGGCTGTTTCGTTTGTGCGCGTTGCTCCAGGGGAGATGAATGGATTGCATGCACGGTACGTGGTGTTGGAAGACTGTATATCATATGTATAACGCCGAGGGGAGGTGACTCCTGCCGAAGGGCGACAGTTTTGATTGTGCTTTTTCGGACGTGTTGCTGGAGCCGACCATCTTGGACCAATTCCTCAAGGTGGTCTTTCAAGGCACAGCAGCTGTCCGTATCATGACCGTGATCTTTGTGATATTCATAACGTCTGTCCTGCCTTCTCGTGTCAGGAGGTCCCACCATCTTGGACGGCTATTTGAAGAATGGAAGATGTTGGATCTTGGACATAATTGAGCTGATTGGCTCTGACAGCTCCGTATATTTCTTGTCGGCGCGCTTTGTGCGCCTGCTATCGACCTGCAGTTGCTCATTAGCTTGGTATGGGCATCGATCGCTGGATCGGCGAGAATCCCGTCTCTTGTCTCGTTTAGCCCACTGTCGTGGTTCAGGGCTTTGAGGTGGTGCAGAACTTATTGGCTGAGCGATTTTGGGAGGGGCCGTTTTGTTGACCACGTGTCCGGCTTTAACCCGCAAGGCGTCGTCTTCCACTTTGCAGTATTTCTCTACTTTCTTCATCAACCCCCAGACTGTTTTGGGGGGTCTTCTAGTCAAGGAACTGCGAAGGGCACTATCTGGGTGTAGTCCCATTTTGAAGGCAGTGATGGCCATGGAGTCGTTGCAAGCGTCATCGACAAGGTTAAAGCATTTCCAATGTCGCGCCGAATAAGCTTTTAGTGTTTCTCCTGGCAGGATTTGCATTGCCCAGATGGATTCGGCTTGTTTTGGCCGGACTTCATTGGTAATGAATTTGGCCCTGAAGGATTTCTGTAGTTGGTGGAAGGTTTTGATCGAAGCCGGCTCCAGTTTATAATACCATCGGACCACCAACGGTCCCAAACTGCTGGGAAATATTCGGCACATGAGGGCCTCGTCGTCTGCATGCAATGTTATGGCCTGCTTGTAGTGGCGGATGTGGTTGGTGGGGTCTGGTTTGCCGTCGTACAGGGTGAACGACGGTGCTTTAAATTTCTTTGGTAGCGCAGCCTTTGCGATCCGTCGTACGAAGGGGTTGTGTTGGTCTTCGTCTGAACTTTTCCTTCTTCGCTTCTGCATTGTACGAGGACTTTCTTCGGAAGAACTGGTGGTTTCATGTCGTCCCTTCTTCCTGGGCTCCGGGGATAATGAGTCGGAGTCGCTATCAGTGTCTTGTCGTGCTCGAGGTTGTCAACCACCTGCCTTCGGAGATCGTTCCGGATTTAGGCGCGCAGTTGTTTGGACTTCGCCATTTCCAAGGCCAAATCTTCACGAAGACGTTCATTCTCAGCGATCATGTTCTCCAGCCTCTGTTCATTTTGCTTTGCTTGTTCCATGATCGCCTACATTATCTCGTGCTTCGAAGTCGAAGGTGAGGCGAAATTCAAGGCACGTCGTGCGACGATAGTCTCTGGTCCAAACAAGTTTGTTAGAGTAGTTCATCGTGAGGTATAGGGTCGACAGTGACTGTCGGAGGATCTTTTGTCACGTTCGCCATGGATGTGCTTGAGTATTCCCACAGACGGCGCCAATTGTGGAGAAGTGGTTTTAGGAAATACTCTTCTGATCCTGGGGGATGCTCGTGATCCACCGATAGGCACCTGAAATGAAGTAAACACTCCAGTTGGGGGTGCCGGAATTAGCACTCCGACGGACAAGTCAGTCTCGTTTTAGATTACTTGTATTCTAAGTTAAACACCACAATTATCATATACCTTTCTCAGTCTGCTATTCCTTTATTTATACTCGTTCCCTGGGCCTCGGGGCCAGATCCACTTTTCGCTCATTATGTTCATATTTATTCGGCTCCATAGCTCAGTACCTATTCGGTCCATTTACCCTTTATATTCAGCATCCTGATGGTTCTGGATAGAGCCGGGCAATACCTGTTTGTTAAAGTATGCCTCCTTTAAAATTCGGCTCCCACATGAACACATATATGATCAATTTGTCAAAGTCCGATACGTATTGAATACGAACACAACACCTATTTTGAAGTATATAAGTTTCATAAGCTAAAACCAGTCAAACCAAAGAAATTGGAAGAACATAAATATGGATGTACATAAATTAAGTTCATGCAGCACTTTTCCAAGGGATTTTTGATCCATTAGATTTTGCAACAAACTTAGAAGATTGATAAACTTAAACAATAAGTTGACACTAAAATTTTTATTAATAAATTTATTTATTTTAAACTTTTAAAGTTGATTTATTTTTTTGACTTTATCATTTAATTTTCTCCAGTTTTGCCTCTCTTCTTCTCTACTTGGGTTAAGTCCTTTTGTGTAAATATCACAAGTTTGCAATAATTGAAAACTACACTACAAGAAAAGTGGGATTAAAAGACGAAAGCATTTGCGATGGCACACTTGCCGTCTCAAAAAGTAACTTTTTTTGCGAGGCAAGCAGGTGAGGTTTTTGCGACGACACACATTTGCTGTCGGCGAAAAAGGTGAGTTTTTCACAAAAAAAAGGAGAGTATTGCGACGGCAGAGATTGCTGTGTCTCAAAAAAATAGAGTTTTTGCGACGGCATTAATTGTAGTCGTAAAAAAAAAAAAAAAGAGTTAATTTTTGGACTGTAATAGGTACCACGTTGCAAATAAAAAAAAAATATTGTGGCTTTGAGATGGCTTAATATATATACAGTCACAAAATGGTTTGAATAAATGCAACGGTATTTTCCTATCGAAAAAAAAAAAAAAAAAATTAAAAAAAAAAAATTAAAAAACGACGTCGTGTTGCTCTTTTGATATAACATTTCTCTTTTTACCTATTTTTTCATCTTCCTGTCTCTCTGTCTCTTTCTTTTCTCTTTCTCTCTCTCACTCATTCCTCTTTTCTCTTTGTCTGTCTGTCTATCTGTCTTTCTCCGCGTGTGTCTCTTGCTCATCTCTCTATCTCTCTCATCTCTCTTCTCTCTATCTCTCTCTTCTCTTTACTCTCTCTGTCTCTCTCTCTATCTCTCTGGCTCATCTCTCTTCTCTCTATCTCTCTCATCTCTCTCTCTCTCTCTCTCTCTGTCTATCTCTCGCTTATCTCTTGTTTCTTTCTCTTTTTTTGTCTCTCTCTATCTCTTTCTCACTCTGTCTTTCTCTCACTTATCACTCTTCTCTCTCTTTGTCTGCTTGTCTTTTTGTCTGTCTTTCTCTCTCTCCCCCGCTGTGTTCGCCTTGCTCACTCTCTCCCTCACTTCTTCTCTATTTACCGAGCTTCTTCTCGATTTATCGATCCACTATAAGAAAACTCACTTTTAGCGACCACTTTGTCTCTCTCTCTCTCTCTCTCTCTCGCACGCGCGCGCGCTCATCACTCTGTCTCTGTTTGTCTGTCTCTCTGTCTATCTCTCTTCTTTATCTGTTTCTCACTCATCTCTTTCTCACCCCTCATCTTCTCTACCATCTTCACGGCTACTGCAAATGCCATTCCACTACCACCACCACTACTACTGTTGCCACTCTATCTCTACGATTACCATTACTACCACCATCGTCACCACTTCATTACTACCACCACCATCACCACCACCACCACCACTACTACTGCAACTACTACTACCATTACCTCTCTTTCACCATCGCCACTCCATCTCATCTACCATTACCACAACTTCATCACTAATCTTCTTCGCCATCACGACCACCACTACCATCACCTCTTATTCATCACCTTCACCACTATTGCCACTCCCTTTACCACAAAAAATTAATTCTTGATTTTTAGTAACAAAAAAAAAAAGGATGAGGCGGCAAATTTGGAGGAAGAAGAAAAAGCAATGTTGACAGTGGATGTAGATATTTGGTGTTGTCGTGGTCGAGGCAAGAGTTGTGAGGCTATGGAGGAGGAGCAATGGTGGACCAAAAAGAGATGTTGAGCGATTCAGGGACTCACTTTTTCACCGCCGCTGCCGCTGCTAGCCGTCGTCACTCACTGCTCGCCGTCGTCGCTCGTCGCTCGCTGCTCGCCGTCATCCCCCCTTGCTGCTGCTGCCACTGCCGCTGCTTGCAGTCGTGAGAGAGACAGAGATAGAGAGAGAGAGACAGAGACAGAGACAGAGACAGAGATATGGTATCGTATTTTGGGGATTTTTTTGTTTAAGGGATTGGGGATCGGAGATCGTGAGAAACAAAAGGGAAAAAGAAAGGAGTCCGTGCTTGCGTCCGTCTTTGTAGGCTTTGGGTCTACTTTTAGGCTCAATTTTGATAATTCGAATCGTTTATATTTTATGATTTATTCAGTATATCATACCTGTAAAAATCAAGTTGATCGGATATCAGAAAGCATATGTTCGGAAAACTGTTTATTAAATTTTTTAAAAAATAGTGTTTAGTTCAATTTTTCAAACACATACTTTCTGATATCCGATCAACTTATTTTTTACAGGTATGATATACTGAATAAATCATAAAATATAAACGATTCGAATTATCAAAATTGAGCCTAAAAGTAGACCCAAAGCCTACAAAGACGGACGCAAGCACGGACTCCTTTCTTTTTCCCTTTTGTTTCTCACGATCTCCGATCCCCAATCCCTTAAACAAAAAAATCCCCAAAATACGATACCATATCTCTGTCTCTGTCTCTGTCTCTGTCTCTCTCTCTCTATCTCTGTCTCTCTCACGACTGCAAGCAGCGGCAGTGGCAGCAGCAGCAAGGGGGGATGACGGCGAGCAGCGAGCGACGAGCGACGACGGCGAGCAGTGAGTGACGACGGCTAGCAGCGGCAGCGGCGGTGAAAAAGTGAGTCCCTGAATCGCTCAACATCTCTTTTTGGTCCACCATTGCTCCTCCTCCATAGCCTCACAACTCTTGCCTCGACCACGACAACACCAAATATCTACATCCACTGTCACCATTGCTTTTTCTTCTTCCTCCAAATTTGCCGCCTCATCCGCCTCCACGGAGTCTCTGGTTAGGCCCTTCGTTTGCTGTCAGATCGGAGCCTCCAAAGTGGAAATCATAGATCCGTTGAGCTAAGGTTAAGGCACACTCTATGTCTCTCTCTCTCTCTCTCTCTATATATATATATTACTTCTATTTAATTTTAGGTTTTTGGCCATTCCATTACTGTTTCTTTTCTTCAATTTCTCCAATTTAGTATAAATTAGGCCTATGTGTGGTTGATTATGATAAATTATTTATAGTTTCTGTTGAATTAGTGCTTTGCTTTGTGCTTTGGATACCTAATTAGGGTTTTTTTTTTTTTATTGTTTATTGTTTCTTTTGAATTTAGCCTCTGTTTCCTTGAATTGTTTCTTTTTTGGTCTCTTGTAGTGGTTGTAGATATATTGGTAGACTAGCAATTATTGTTATATTAACTACTGAAAAAATTAAAAATGAAAATAAAAATATTAACAATTGGACTTGTTGATTTTTTTGTGCCATAATGTATTTATTTCACCGAATTTTGAGATATATTAATTGAAGAGTTACTCTGGGAATTGTTTGTTCAAGCAGGCCCTATTGGTGCGTTATAATGTTCTGTCACCATGAAAGCATTCTTTAATTAATCTTATTTAAATAAAGTGGTGAAGTGAAACAGACATGCAATTCCATTAGCGTTATTAAAACTCTTGGCTCTATTTGCATGTCTTTACAAGTTCATAAACTACACGAATTTTGAGATATATTAATTGAAGAGTTAGGCCAAGTTTGGCAACCCAAAATAAGTACACACTTTTTATCTTTTTATATTCTTTTCATCACATCATCTCTCTACTTTTCTACACATCTTTTCGTAAAAAGACAAAAAATGTACTTATTTAGGTCATCCCAAACAACCCCTTACTCTGGGAATTGTTTGTTCAAGCAGGCCTGTTGGTGCGTTATAATGTTCTGTCACCATGAAAGCATTCTTTAATTAATCTTATTTAAATAAAGTGGTGAAGTGAAACAGACATGCAATTCCATTAGCGTTATTAAAACTCTTGGCTCTATTTGCATGTCTTTACAAGTTCATAAACTACATTGTCTTTTTGTATATGTTTTCGGTCATTGTTCTAAATACACAAGATAATGCTTTTGGATAGATACTTGCTCTTTTCTACAAGCCCCTGTTTTCCATTTCCTTCATGTCAATTTTGCATAATTAAGGAAGTTCCTTATGTACCAATTCTATATAGTCTTGGTTTGCTGCATCGAGATATGTCCGTCTCTATGTGTTTAAATAGTTAAAAACCAGTAACCATCCTTAAATACAGGAACGAAAGGATGAATCTTGCAAAACTCATAATAGTGAAGTAAAATGCAAAATGAAACATTGGAGAATAATTACATTACCAATATAGCATTTGGAAGAAAAGGAATAATTTATACTACCATTTAAATTCAATAGTAGGAACAAGTTATAACCCCCCAATTACATTACCAGCATTTGGAAGAAAAGGAATAATTTATACTACCATTTAAATTCAATAGTAGGAACAAGTTATAACTTACACTAACGTTCTCCGGACTTGGGCATTATTTTGTGTTTTTCATATTTTTTCCTGATTTTATTCATTGTTAAATTGGTTCTAAAATCTGAATGTGTTTAAAAAAGATCTCTGAAAAACTAGGGATTGGATATGGTGATATTTTCCAATCTCTATTTTCTCTTTCTACATGATGCATTTGGTTGTTTATTCAGAAGAATTCCCTTGTGAGAGTTCCTTCTATAAATTTCAAGAATGCATAATTGTAATATTTTTTGTTCTGTTTCAGTATGTATGTTCCCAAAGATAGAGTCACCAATCTTCATCAGGGTTATGGCTTTGTAGAATTCCGAAGTGAAGAGGATGCTGATTATGTAACTTGTACTTCATTGCTTGTGGCATCATTAGCAGTGCTCTCTATAGCTTCTTAAGTGATGCTAAGATCACGGTTCATCTCTTGATTTTTGCTTTCTCCTTCCTTCTTTGTTTTTTTTATTTTTATTTTATCAGTGATCCTTTCTTTCTTTTGGTGATGCAGGCAATAAAAGTTCTGAATATGATTAAACTTGATGGAATGCCAATAAGGGTGAATAAGGTGAGGATCCTTATTCTCATATATATCATTTGCTGTTTCTTTATGCTTACCTTTGGAATATCAACTCAAGGACCATCACTAGAAGCTTTTTGGTGGGTACACATTAAACTGAGAAGTAAGGGCTAATGTTGAATTAAGGGCTAACTTTTTGTTAATCTGAAATTTTTTGTGCTGTGGATGAACAAGAATTAAGGGCTAATGTTGAATTCTTCTAGAATGTAGTTATCCACTTTGACATGCCATCTCTTTGGTATTTCTTTATTTTGTAACGTTATTCATTCATTCTTATTAAAATTGAATTAATTTTTTTTCCTTCTTTGGAATTGAAGAGAGCCATTCAGTTTCAATGTTGTTTTGTGAAGTATTTTTGAGGAAAAAATATTGATTTGCTAGTTGTTGATGGGAGCAAAAGGAAAATCGAAAATGTATGGTCTATAATTTCCTTGGCATATATAAAACCTATGAAGTATATACACGGGTGCGGGATATGGGATACAAATGCATACAACAAAATTTAAAACAACAGGATACGTGTACAACTACGATATGTTGAAAAATAATTTATAATTTTTAGTATTATATATTATACACAACCTCGAAGAATAGTGAAATACCATTCTTTAGTATTATATATTTTTTAGTGAAATACCATTTCCTTGTAATTCCCAAAAGTTCCCAAATTATTACCATTTCCAAGATTAGAGCAAAAGAACTCACCAAAGTAGAATTCCAAATTCACAATTATGACTCTTTAAGAATGCTCATAACCAGTGTTTAAAAATTTGACCACCATTGGTTTTGCCTATTCCCGATACTGCTATCTGCTTCTTTAGCAGGAGAAGTAAATTTACAATGTGATGCGCCGTTACGGAATCACTTTAGACAACAAATTGTTTTAAAAGATTTATTTATTTATTAGTTGTTTTGTCCCTTCCAATCTTTTTTGTTTCTCAAAAAACCGAGTGTAGGCCTTTGAAAACTCTTACATCTGCAAGATTTAGTCGTCAAATCTGTAACTTTGGTCTCTTGATCTTCAACCCAAAGTTGCCAAGCTAGGTAAGATTAGAAAAGAAAAAATCATTATTTTTTCAGCTGAATGTAGGTAGATTTTTTTAATGTTCAACTTATATCTACCTTGTTTTAGGTTAGATTTGTTCAACAAAGATTGGATTCTACTCTCATCTATTCATTTTAGGCCCTAATTCTTGAAATCAAGTGATTATTAAGGTAAATGTTTTTCTTTTATTTCATTAGCATAAGGAATATGAATGAAATTATGGAATCTCAGAATGTTTGAATTGATTAGTATATTTAAGTGATTTGCAGATTGTAATTTTATTTTTTTTATTTTTTATTTTACTTTTTATTTGTATCTCATAATGCATGCTATCAACTTATTATGATATATAACTTTTTGAGGGCCCGCTCATATAACCCCTAGCTTATTGATGAATTCAACCTTATATGTTACTTCTGTCGGATCGCTACTAATCTCAAAAGGTCAAGCTGTGTGGAAAGAGGCCCAACAATGCATATGGAGCTCTCTGTCACCCTTCTCATGTGCAATCTCGTCTTGCATGTGGAGATGAAAACATCCTAACATGTGGAGAAACAAAATGCAAACAAGGAAACAAATGTATATGGAGAACTTGAACCTAAGACCGTTATTAACCTGTGGTTTGACACCTTATTAGATGATCACCAGTCAAGTATGGCTACTTTGCTCTCCAATACTATCACTTGGATTTATCTTTGAAAATGAATTTTCAATTAGCCTTGATGCATCACTGTAGTATCTACTAAGCCTTGTAGTCTATCATGGCTACTTGCAATTTTTTACCCTTTTATGTCATTTTCAAGTATGGATAGTCACAATGTTAATGTAAATAATGTATGATGTATCCACTTTCTATCGTGTCATTTACATGTAAGTTTGTGCACTTTTGTGTTATTTTTTCCCTGAGAAGAACCTAATTGGGTCTGTGATGTGCAGGTCCTCGTCGATCATACCAATTCAAAGATTGGAACAGATGCACCGCCAAGCAGTACTCCAAACTGGACAATTAACGTTTTAGATGTGAGGAAAATACTTACTAAAAGTGCACACTAGTTGGTGCTTATAAGAAGTTCTTTTTATTCATAAACTGGGCATCAGTGTGAATGACTAAACCATTACTTGGTGCTTATAAGAACTGCTTTTTATTCATGAACTGGGTATCAGAATTCTTATTGGCTCTCACGTTGCTTACATTGAATCTAGGGCTATGAGTTTTCTTTATTTTTTTATTGGATTTTGTATTTGGGCTTTCGAGAAACTAGTTTAGGTACACAATACACCATTACAGCCTGGTCCTTGGCACACACGATCGCCTAGACATGAGTAGACATGAGAGACTTGCGGGAGAAGATGGAACTCGAATCGGGTTCCCGGTTTGGGAGTTAGAGCCGGATTTCGATTTAGGCAAATTATTTTCGTAAGAAACTTAGAATTCGAAGTGTTAACGTCCCAAAATCACCAAACGACGTTGGATTAGCATGAAACTTGGCACGCACGGCCGCTTAGGCACGAGAGATTTGTGGGAGAAGACGAGACTCGAATTGGATTTCCAGCTTGGGAGTTAGAGTCGGATTTCACTCTAGGCAAACTAGTTCCTTAAGAAACTTAAAATTCAAGATGTTGACGTTCCAAAATCACCAAATGGCGTCAGATTAGCACGAAACTTGGCACACACGGCCACCTTGGCATGAGAGACTTGTGGGAGAAGACGAAACTCGAATCAGGTTCTCAGTTTGGGAGTTTGAGTCGGATTTCACTCTAGGCAAACTAATTCTTAAAAAACTTGGAATTCAAGGTGTTGACGCCCCAAAATCACCGAACGGCGTCGGATTAGTATGAAACTTGGCACACACGACCGCCTAGGCATGAGAGACTTGTGGGAGAAAACGGGACTCGAATCGGGTTCCCGGTTTGGGAGTTAAAGCCGGATTTCACTATAGGCAAACTAGTTCCTTAAAAAACTTAGAATTCGAGGTGTTGACGCTCCAAAATCACCAAATAGCGTCGGATTTGCACGAAACTTGACACACACGACCACCTAAGCATGAGAGACTTTTGGGAGAAGACAGGACTCGAATCGGGTTCCTGGTTTGGGAGCTAGAGACGGATTTCACTCTTAAGAAACAAACTAGTTTCTTAAAAAACTTAGAATTTGAGGTGTTAATGCCCCAAAATCACCAAACGGTGTCGGAGTAGCATGTAACTTGGCACACATGACCATCTAGGCACGAGAGACTTGTGAGAGAAAACGGGACTTGAATCGGATTCCCGATATGGGAGTTAGAGTTGGATTTCATTCTTAAGAAACAAATTAGTTTCTTAAGAAGCTTGGAATTTGAGGTGTTAATGCCCCAAAACCACCAAATGGCGTCGGAGTAGCACGAAATTTGGCACACACGACCACCTAGGCACGAGAGACTTGTGAGAGAAGACGAGACTCGAATCGGGTTCTCGGTTTGGGAGTTAGAGTTGGGTTTCACTCTAGGCAAACTAGTTTCTTAAGAAATTTAGAATTCGAGGTGTTAATGTCCCAAAATCACCAAACGGCGTTGGAGTAGCACGAAACTTGGCACACACGACTGCCTAGGCACGAGAGACTTGTGGGAGAAGACGGGACTCAAATCAGGTTCTTGGTTTGAGAGTTAGAGCTGGATTTCACTCTTAAGAAACAAACTACTTTATTAAGAAACTTAGAATTTAAGGTGTTAATGCCTCAAAATTAGCAAACGACATCGGTGTAGCACGAAACTTGGCACACACGACTGTCTAGGCACAAGAGATTTGTGGAAGAAGACGGGACTTGAATCAGGTTCCCGGTTTGGGAGTTAGAGCCGGATTTTGGTGTAGGCAAAATTATTTACTTAATTTTCTTTGTGATTGTATAGTAGTTACATTTCAAGCGACTACGAGGTGAAAGATGAGAGGATGGTTAAGTACCAAGAGTTAGTCAGAAAGGAGATCATGAAGTTCGAAGTAGTTCGGATAGAGCAAATCGGCCGAGAAGAAAACAGTAGAGTAGACGAGCTGGCAGGTTTTGCTTCAATGGTAGATACATTTATCCCGCATCCATTACTGATCGACTTCCTACCCAGACCAAGTATTGAAGAACCCGAAGTAGTTGAGGTATGTTGTGTTGAACTAGGCTTTTCATGGATGGATCCCATTATAGTATTCTTGAAAGACGGCATCTTACCTGAAGAGAAGAAAGAGGTTAACAAAATAAGAGCAAAGTCACATCAATTTTGGCTCTTTCCATCATTGGGGTTATACAAAAAGTCCTTCACAGGACCTTACTTGAAATGTGTCCATCCTAGCAAGGTTGAGGCGTTTTTGTTTGAGATATATAAAGGCGTATGCAGAAGCCACCAAGGGGGTAAATCATTGGCTTACAAAGCAATCTCACAAGGATATTGGTGGCTATACATGCAAGCAGATTCTGAGAAGTATGTCAAGAGGTACGAAAAATGTCAGAAGTTTGCACACTAGATACACCAACCAGCCAGAGAGCTTCTACTATTAACTAACCCATGGCCCTTCGCAATGTGGGGCCTGAACATGGTAGGTCCACTTCCAACAGCACCCGGCAACAGAAAGTTTTTTCTCGCAGCAACAGACTACTTCACAAAGTGGGTGGAGGCTGAAGCACTCGCATCAATAAAGGAGAAAGATATAAAGAAGTTCGTCTGGCAGAATATCATAACCCGATTTGGTATACCCAAGGCTCTAATATCCGACAATGGCACTCAATTCAATGGTAAAATCTTCAGGGGCTTTCACGAGGAATACAAGATAGAATTTTACAACTCTACACCGGCATACCCTCAAGCAAATGGCTAGGCAGAAGCTTCAAACAAAGTGGTTTTAGATGGTTTAAAGAAAAGGTTGGAAAGAGCAAAAGGCAAGTGGGCTGAGGAGCTTCTTCATGTTTTATGGGCTTACCGTACCACACCTCGACGGTCAATTGGTGAAACGTCTTTTTTCTTAGCCTATGGCATGGAAGCGGTAATTCCATTGGAAGTAGGCCCCCACACTATTAGAAGTGAAAATTTTGACCCAAACTTGAATGAAGAAGCCATAACCTTGGAACTTGACCTTACAGAAGAGAGAAGGGAAAGGGCTCTAGTTCACATTGCCTCATACCAGCAGGAGTTATCCATAAAATATAACAAAACGGTGCATCTAAGACAATTCAAGATCAGGGATTGGGTATTACGCAAAGTAATGGGCAACACTTTGGTACTCGGAGATGGCAAGTTAGGACCTTACTGGGAAGGACCATACAAAATGGCTAGGTTGGCAGGAAAAGGGGCATATCACTTGGAAGATGGAGACAACAAGGCTATTTGTAGGTCATGGAACACTGTCAATCTCAAGTTATTTTATTTTTAGCTTTTTCTTAGAGTTTTTTTTCCTCTTTTTTCAAATAAAACAAGTAGTTTTTTTAGGATGAGTCTTTTTACTGTAAAAGTTGTTCTCAGTCATTGCCAGCAAGAGGCAATCAGAAAGTTTGGCAGGAATAATCAAACATTTAGCTCTCTTCAGCCGAGATCAGGATCTAGGCTGAAGAGGTTGGCAGAAATAATCAACATTTAGCTCTCTTCAGCCAAGATCAAGATCTAGGCTGAAGAAGGTTGGCAGGAATAACTAACATTTAACTCTCTTCAGCCGAGATCAGGATTTAGGCTAAAGAGGTTTGCAGGAATAACCAACATTTAACTCTCTTCAGCCGAGATCAGGATCTAGGCCGAAGAGGTTGGCAGGTATGACCAACATTTATCTCTCTTCAGCCGAGATAAGGATCTAGGCTGAAGAAAGTTGGCAGGTATGACCAACACAAAACAAGTAGTTTACAGGGCTTTTTGACTGAGATAGCTATCTAGGCCAGAAAACATAAGGACATCATAACCAAGCAAAGAGTTCAAAGCATCATACAATTAAAATTAAAGGAACACAAATATGGCGCGAACCGAACAAAAAGATTGGAAAAATAGTAGATTTCATTCAAGATTTAAAAGTACATTACAAAAAGTGGGGCTTCAGCCCGGTTACAATTTCAAAAGAAAAAAAACAAGGTCAAGCAAAGAGGTCATCCAAAGCTGCATCTAGGACAACCCGAGCTTCGCCACTTGGTAGCCCCGGTTCCAGCAGGTATGTCGGTCAGAGGCACATCATCAATCGTGCTTGGCACCAGGGTTCCACCCGAGCTGTTTGACCGGTTTGGAGACCGTAATCGTCGTTGACAGTTAGGGCATTATCTGGATCTGGCGATCTTTCTTCCTCCTTCCCCTCTTAGAGAAACTTTTGTTGGATGGCGTTGGCATAATCCGCCATGTAACTTGGGATAAAATGAGGAGGAGGGTTCTGAAAGACCTCGGTTTTTGGACCCAAGCCGAGCTTCGCAATTGCTGCCTTCCAGTCACATTTGAAGAAGATGTCTTTTGCAGCCTCGCACTGCAAGACATACGTAGTTTCCCCTTCTTTGTAGCCACGGTCCTCTGCGTCTTCCGCATTTTTTTCAGCTCGGCGATCTCGGTATCTTTTTTCTTCTCAAGCTTGGCTAGTTCGCACAAGTAATGGTCTTTTAGCTTGGCCAAAGCTTTCTGCTTGTCCGCTTCCGCCGCATTGACCAGCTCGGTAAGTCGGGCAATTTCGGAGGTGAGCTCAGTCATTTTTTTCTTGGCCTCGTTCAGCTCGGCCATCTTGGTATTGGCATCTGCAACAGCCAGCCGCGCTGTCTTACGTAGCTCTAGCACACGCTTGTGAGCAATGTGGTTCTTCTGCATGGCCTGCAAAAGGAGAGATAGCAATTATGATTAAAATCGAGCAAACAGTTGTGTGAAATGGAAAACAAAAGAGCACTTACCAGCATCATCGACTTAGTTGTCGAGCGGATAGCCTTGAGCTCGGTCAGGTGATCACGGTGCTCCATATCGGCCGGAAGACACGGTCTTGGCAAGGTTAAGGGCAAGCATGTGGTCCTTGTCTGCAACCACTGAGTCAGTATTCGATATGGCTCGGTTCTTATAAGTTATTTTTGGTGCCCACTCTAAAAGGCTAGCCCGGTCAAAAAGCACGGGTTCTGGGCTCGACAGCGTGCTCCGTGGCAGCACGGTGTCATCTTCATCAACTAGATGTTGTGGCTCGGTCGAGGAAGTGCGAGCACGCTTG